AAGTCATGTTGTAATAATTAAAAATGGTTTAAGAAACTAAAATGACAAAAAAAATATTGGGCTTAAATACGCAAGTTTGTTTGGAAACAGCTCCACTCTGTGGTTATTACAATAACTGTAGTTCAAGCCATCAGCACAGACAAAAAGATGTTTAAGCAAGATTTATTTGCTCATGCAAATGCAAACGTTAGAACACAGACAATTGAACAATACAATAAATATAAGCAGACTTTTTTTTTCAGAAATCAGATCTATTCATTTAAACAAGTAACAGAATAAACAAATCTCGACAGCAGAGATGCATGTCTCTTCAATTATACAAAATGACTAACAAATCTAATTGCAGAACTTTCATAGAGACTCATTTGCAGGACTCTTTAATAATCTGGTTCTGATTCTTCACCAGAGTGGCTAACATGGACATGAAGTTGGGCTTCTGCGCGGAAGATTTTGTAACACCAGAGGCAGAGACTTTCCTCTGGTTCCCTCGTTTCATCTTAGGCTTCACGCTGAACAGATCTGGGGGCGTCCTGAACCCATTCGAATCCTCAGAAATCTCTTCCTGCTGCTCATTCTGGAAACCATTCTGAGCTTCACGAATCTCTCCACGTTTGTGCTTCTGCCGAGGGCTTTTCCTCTGTTCCGCAGCAACAGTTTCAGGCGTGTCATCAAACTTCAGAGCCCGCCGCGTTCCGTCTATGCCATCAAACACTTCCTGATTGTTCAATTTGCCCCGGACATTAGTCGTCCTCTGTTTGCTGGAGGCATCTGAGTTCTGCTTCAACTCTGCATTTAATCTTGAAATCTTCTCATCTACAAGCAGTTTGTCCTCCTGCATCACACTGACACTAAGGTTGAGAGGAGAAAGCTGCTGAGATAATGTGTTGTTCAAAGAAGGCTTCCTTTTCACCGAAGATTTCCAGCCAGCAACGGGTGGCCAGACCACAGATCGTGACCTCTTACGATGCCGTGGCTTTGCTTTGGTAATGGACAGGTTGGTCTGAATGGAAAGCAGATACTTGCAGCGACGTAAATTCCTAGATACATGCATACAAAAATTATTTTACTATATATATACACAATACTGGAGTATTTTATATCTTTCCTTGAATGAGACACCTAATTTTTGGCAATACCTTCAACTTGATTGCACAGACACTATTGGACGAGAAGTGAACAGAGCTGGACAATGATATCAGTGAATCAACTAGGGCTGTGCAATTAATCGTATGCGATTGTCATGCGCATCTCG